CGTGACGTGGCGAGCCACGTCGGATCGGTCAACTCGTTTTTTTGACCAAATAACGCTGTGGACGAATATGGAACCGTTTAACAAGTTCAGGATTTAACGTGTTCAATTTTGCAAGTTTGAGAATTAATAGGCATCTCTACAAGTTTAGGAATTGATATTACTCCAAAATATAAGTTCAATTTTTTTTAGGGTTTTTGTGAATATAAAATATAAGTATCTTTTAATTTCTAAATTGTTTATGAATTGTTTTAAAAAAATTTATATTAAAAAGAATATTTCTAAATCAAATATATTTTTTAATAGTCATGAATATATAATCAAACTGTGAAAACTAAAAATAAGATAATAAAATAATGTTGTGGAAGAAATACATATCGAGCACATCAATGTAATTTATTTATTTAAATAGATTATTCTAATGACCCTAAATTAAGTTAAATCAATTGAATTAACAAAACATTTAATCAACGATTCGTTCTTATCCAAAAACTCCTAAATATAATTCAAAGAAAGGTATTATAAAATATATGCGAAAACTATAATACAAAAGTCTAAAATCACCACTCTTGATTTTCAAAAGCGAAATGCGTTAAAGATAATTAATTATACATGATCTAGAAAGTGAACTATCACCAGGTCTCGCGTCTACCTCAGCCACTACTCTTGCTCATTATCTAAAATGTTTCATAACAACGTCCCAAGCTACGTGCTTAGGAATGAATTCGGGTGTAATCCGAGATTTCTATTTTCATTGAAAATGGCCAAACAATAACATCAATATTATATATACATGCGAGGAGATATATCAATCAAATCAATCATCATTGAATCAATCAACAATCTCAAACAAAATATGTCAATCATCTCTATGTGTATCTCACACATAGGTAAATACAATAACTCGTTCATGCCCGTGTCGAACACGAGGAGCAACAGTCCACGCAAAATCGTTTGCGAGGTCCTCAAGGGATCTTCACACTCCTCATCGGTCATCGATATCACAGCTCTGGGTACCGGTCATCCCCATATCCACTCCAGACATCGGTTTCCGATGCTGCTGATTATTGAGCGAAGTAGCTCTATGTTAACTCCCCTTCGCCGATCATTCCACCTCGGAAAGTACTCATCAGACCCGAACTCAAGACTTTCAGAGTATATCCGTACCACCTCGTTGGGGGATAACGCAACTATTCGGGTCTCAAGTTTATTTGGCAATCCACGGGTGACATACGCAAACCTAATGTTCGTTCCATGGCCAATGGAACATTAGCGCGATTGCCAAAGAACTGTACTTTCTCGTCAAGCATTCGGGTGATACACGCAAACCTGAATACGTAAGTCGCAGACGCCAAAGCCATTTATCAAGGAACGATGGCGCAATCGTAGATCATCACAATCACAATCACGTCTCCCACAAGATGATAATCGATCTGGATCAGATCGAATATCATACCTCGAAGATTTATAGATAAGGGAATCATCGTGATAAAACTAAAAACCCGTCTACAATTCACACACTGAACAATACCCGAACCCATCCGAGTAATGTCAATGCTATGCCATCTACCCTAACAAGATTCCCCAATCACAAGCGGTCATTCATTATTACTTACCGTACACACAATCAATTATAATTTGTTTTAAATTTGTTCTTACTTATTTTACTTATTTATTTTATATTTTATATCATTGGTACAATCAAACTAGGTTCTGATCCGTCCGAATAATCACTTCGGCTCGTCCCGAGATTGATTCTTACCTGGTCATATCGTTTGGTCCGAACTAGTGTGGTCCATTTCAAATCGAATTTAGTCATATTTTGGTTAAAATTTGGGTTTGAGGTTAGACCGAGTCAATCCTATTTCTAAATTGTCCGTTTCATTATTTATTTATTTATTTATTTATTTATTTATTTTTATTTATTATTTTTTCTACACCGGATCGGTCCATTTTTATCTATTTATTTTTCCTTTAAAACAATTTTTCTTTCTTTTTTTTTAACTAGACCGAACGGTCTGTGAGTAGACTGTTGGTCTAAATTTTATCTTTATTTTCTTTTCGATTTTTTTCATTTCTTTTTTTTGCATCCCAAGTTTAGAAATTAATATTATATCAAATTATAAATTCGATAATTTTTAGGGTTTTTTCCCTATTATATCAAATTACAACCGAACAGACTACTACAACCTCACTTGTCACGAACAAACTTTATTCGAGTTAGGTAGTCATAGTGTCTTACTAGAGACCGCCTATGATTTGTATAAACGGAATGAAGATTTCGAGTTATACTGCTATATCAGATGAACCTTCATGGTTTCTGTAACAACACAGTTTTTCAAAAAAAAAAAACTTTGGACCGTCCCGTCCAGACATCCCGGACCGGACGGACCATGACCAGACTGGAACGGACAGACCCGACTGTCGGGAGCGACCAAAGTCGCGATTTTGGCTGAAAACGACGTTTACCCACCAATCTTCGACAAAAATCCCAATTTTTCAACCCTTGGAGTCCTATGGCTCAATCATACCGGTCTAAGTCCGGATTTTTCGTTACAAATCACCCAAGTCTGAGCTTCCCTGAACCATTCTCTCTCTTCGTTCTGTTGGGTGTTCCTGGGATCTCAAGAGCGAATCTAATTTCTAAGAGATCAGTTCTAGGGTTTGCGCAGCGGATGAAAAACAAAAATTTTGATGAAACCCTAAAACCTATCATGCATGATCTTGCAGAAACGTTAGAACGCTTACCTCAATCGATCCGGGGCCTGTATCAATCGAAGAACGCGTCTGATCACTTTAGGCAGGAAGAATACCTTGCCCTCTGCACGTATCCACACGGCGGAAAGGATTCCAACGGTTGGAACTTGTCTGCTAGGACTGAAGAACGCTTTCTTCTTTACGCAAGGGTTTTAGGGATCTTTCTCTTAGCTTTCTCACTCTCCAAACCTCTCCCTAGGGTCTGAAAATCGTGCCAAAAGAGTAGGGTTGCGTTTCCATAAGTTTCTCCCCTTTCAAACCCTAATTAGAGCGAGTTTAGTAAATCCCGACGTCCGGACCGATCGGTCCAGACCTGGACCGATCGGTCTGGAACAATTTTACGACCACCTCGGGACCGACCGGTCTACGTCTAGACCGATCGGTCTGGGTTAGCTGGACCGATCGGTCCAGACCTTCTGGACCGGTCGGTCTGGCCTCCGCTCTACCGGGATTTTCTCGTCTCTTTTCGCGCATTCGTTCTTTCCTGTGTGTGTGACCCTGTAGGCTCATCCGATATAGCAGTATAACACGAAATCTCTTATTTCGGTTACACAAGTCATAGGCGGTCTCTAGCAAGACACTATGACTACCTATCTCGAATAGAGTTTGTTCGTGATCCTACGAACGCCAGTGATGATTCCGTTTGATGATCCTTTTGTATCACGATATCATATGTCGAATATAAGGCATGGACAAGCCACCTTATCTGATTCAACT